TCTCTCTCTCTGCCCAGGGTGATTCTGGTGGTCCATTATACCAATACGTGAATAGTGTGGCTGTACTGATAGGGATCGTAACGGGCAGCAACTCTGGCTCTTTGTGTGCTTTTGAAGGCGAGGACCCGGTTATGATGTTTATAAGAATATCGTACAAAATTGATTGGATTATTAATACCATTATTAATAACACCCCATAGAATATTAAGTAAATATCAAATATTATATTTTATGTATTTTTTTATCTGACTATTTATAAATGTATTGTATTATTGATATTTTGTCTAATGTTTAATTAATTTAATTTATAAATAAAATGACAAAATATGGGATTCTTTCAACAATTTCAATTTAAAGGTTAGTTGATTAATTGTTACAATTAAACTAGTTATTAAATTTAATTACTATTAATTAACAATTTATTATTTTAATTAATATTTTTTTGTCAAATATATTAAGATATACATTTTTATTATAATAATATTAAATTACGATTAATAAACATTATTATATAAGAATATATTGTGATTAGGGTGACCACCTCAAGTTCTAGGAAAAAAAGATTTTTGACTAAATTTACAGTAATTATAGAGGACAAATAAAGGGCACGTATTTTAGTCTCATTTTTCGTTTAAATTAAAAATCCTATTAAAATCAATAATATGTATTAAATACATGTCCTCTATTGTAATAAGGCATCAGTCAATTATCAAACAATCACTTGTGTATTTTACTAATAAATCGTAGATTTGTATTATATTTCAGTAAATTTTATAGAAATATAACAATTTATTGGAAAATTTAAAAAAGACATTCAATTGTCTTCTATGACACCTTCAAAGGACAGAGGACAAGAGTCCGAATAGAGGACAATCCTCTGTAATAGAGGACAGGTGGTCACTCTAATTGTAATACATTTAAAAAATCTTCAAAGCAATATCAAACTAATTCTTATCATTATAGTAATTTAATAATTAATTTGTAATTTAATCTTCATTGTAAATTATATTACATACGAATAATTGTTACATAAAATGACACTATTATTAAAATAGTTTTTAAACTGATTAACACATAATTATTTAGACAAAACATTTTCAGTAAAATAAATGCAATAAACAATGCATTCAAAATACTTGTGTCAACTCCTATTGTGTAAGATAATGATTAAAATGATTATTATATAAATAATGACAATAATTATGTTTACTTATAATCATTATTAATACTCTAGTAATTGGTTCGGCAATAGTTTGTAACAGTAGTGTTCACTCGCGTCCCAAACACTACCCGAGCGTAACCACCGATGAGTGCGGGCGGGGATTGCGGACACGAGTCAGGGATGACACGTGTTTCACGTTTCACAAACACACTGATGTAATGGCCAACATGCTAAATGGCCGGGCAATTGAGAAGGGTGATATGCCCTGGAATGTTTTGGTTATCCTGTATTGCGATGGCGCACGGTACAAATCACTTTTGTGTACAGTACTATTGAAATTTTATTTATATGTAAATACACTTTTAAATTGTAGTTTTCTAGGCAGTGGTGTTTTGATGAATGCCCAGTGGGTGCTAACGGCCGCCCATAACATTTTGTAAGTGTTATATAACCTGTAAAATTAACACATACAGATAATCATTTATTATAACAAAAATATATTTTGAAAATTATTAACTTACAATTATAATAATTAAAAACTACCTTAGCTGTGACGATGGCACAGTCAATAGAACCATTTTAATATACATGGGCATAGTAAGTATGCCGGAAGCATTGGTAGCCAGCCCAATAGAGAGTGACCACATTCATCCCGATTACTTAAATGCTGATGAAACTTTGGAAATAGATGATATTGCTCTAATCAAACTCGGTCACCCTGTTCAATTAGACCCTACCGGTGCCAATACAGGTGTGAATAGCATATGTTTGCCCGACAAAAATGTGACAAACAGTGCTAAAGAGTATGCGGTTCTCAACGCATTTGGCGACCCTATGGCTACTCCGGAACCCGAAGGAGGCTTTAATGACACGAATGACGACTCGTGGGACAGGACTCGACTGCTCGCCGGTTGGATAGTAATCAATGCAGCGGTTAATGATGAGGACACTGACTATTATGGCCAGTTTATTATAGGCGAACAATATGGTGGAGCATTCCTCTGCTCGGTAAATATAAAAATTAATTTTAATACTTTGGGTCAACATTTAATTAAATAAATTAATTTGTATAAATATTGTTTCTCTCTCTCTCTCTCTCTCTCTCTCTCTCTCTCTCTCTGCCCAGGGTGATTCTGGTGGTCCATTATACCAATACGTGAATGGTGTGGCTGTACTGATAGGGATCGTAACGGGCAGTTCATCCAATTCAACAGTTTGTATTTGGGAAAACGAAGAGCCGATTCCGGTTATGATATTCATTAGAATATCGTATAAAATTGATTGGATATTTAATACCATTATGAGTAACACCCCATAGAATTTTATATTTAATGTACTGCATTTATTTGTTGACATTATTTTAAAATAATGTATAATTTTTATGGTAATTTTGTCTGCTTTTTAATTATGCTAATCTAGAAATTTTATTTATAGAATTTAGGATTTTTTAAACAATATTAATTTAAATGTTTATTTGATTGATTGCTTTAATTCAAATAGTTATTAGATTTACTTGTTATTAATTGTCAATTTGCGATTTTAATTCATAATATATTTGTGGGAATTCTTGAAATGTAAAAGTTTATTATAATACTATTAAATTACTGTTAATTAATATTACTATATAAGAAAGTATTATATTCAAATCTTAAGTGTGTCTTATTTTAAAATTCTTTATATAAATTATTTAAAACAAATATGTGTTTCAAATTACATAAAATTTCTATTATTTTCAACTGTAAAAAATACTTATAATTAAATTGCTTTAAACGTATCACAAGACAATCATCAAATGGACCAGAATTTTGCAATTTATTTGTTGAAACACATATTATGTAACTATCATACCATGTTATGAAAATGGAAAACTCAATGACTATTGTTAATTAAAAATTTGTTCAAAAATTATATCCTAAACTAGTGTTTGGATCGGCGATTATAATCACCGGTACAGTCGGTATCAAAATCAAAAGCTACGACAAAGTGACTACCGATGGGTGCGGTCTAACCGGTAGACCACATATGGATGACCAGTGTTTCTCGTTTCACAAAACAATGGCACCGATATATAACGGACGCGCTGTTGAACGCTGGGAAATGCCATGGAATGTGTACATTGTTGTCGACCATGATGACGATCCGTATATTGTCCATGCTTAATTTTAATCACAAATTATTTATATAGTTTTTATTTATTCGACAGTCAGATGGAAAGCGGTGTTTTGCTAAACCCCCAGTGGGTTATCACAGCCGGCCATAACGTACAGTATGTATATTATTATATGGTGCACAGTTGTAACATAAATATTAATAATCTAATAATTATTAGCAAACTTAAGCCAAACGTTTTAAAAACATAATGTAAAACTATTTTATTTCAACCATGCACCAATTAGATTAGATGTCCCAGTACACATTTAACAATATTTACTAATAAACCTATAGCTGCGCCGACGACTCCCCGAACTGCGATATTACAGATTTCACAGTTAAAACCGCTATATCAGGATCGGTAATTGCTGGGGCTGAGCACATATTTACTCACCCCAAATATCATAACGAAAGCGATTGGGGCTTTGATATAGCATTGGTTAAACTGAATACAACCATAGACTTTGGGCCACCGGACGCCGGGTATCCCCTGTTTAACAGCATATGTCTACCAGAAAAGGATGCGGTCAACAGTGCCCGAGAGTACGCGATGGTCAGCGGTTACGGCAAAACCCACGATACTGAAGCTGGTCAAAACCTATTGATGGCCGGTTGGGTAACAATTATCACACCATATAATAACGCTACCGATCATGATGGTGAATCAATTATGCTTCACAAGCCGGTCAAACCGTACACCGGCTCCTATATCTGTGATGTAATTATATATGTATATAATAGTACTATAATTTGCTTTCGTTTGCCCAATGGCATTGTATTTAATAATAATTAGGGTGATTCCGGTGGTCCGTTGTTTCAATACGTGAACGGCCGGGCAGTACTGATTGGTATAATCACTGCCTCTAACGCGAGCGGTAGTTGCGGTGATTACGCGGAAGACCCGCCCAATTGGTTCGCAAGAGTGTCCACTAAAATTGATTGGATTGTTGAGACAGTTAACAACAATAGTCCCTGATTATTTAATCAAGTTATTTATTATTTAATGTTACTATTAAAATTTACTCTAAAATTCAGACGGTAAAAGTTTATGTAATTTTTTAATGCATTTTTATAAATAATAATCACAACTATTGCAACAAGTGTTTTTTGTAAATGTTATCAAATTGAGCATATTCTTTCAAAAATTAATCTACATTTAATAGTTAATATTTAAATAACATGTACTGGGTGTTAGATAATATATAGCAGTTTACGGACAGGTAGAGGTGCACCAATATAAGCATTATGGAGTCATTTTGTCAATTTAAAAATAACAAACAAACATATAATTTAAACTAATTATACATATTATTTTAATATTAATAAAAGAATAAGTTTATACATTCAACTGATTATATTATAGATATTTAATAACATTAAGTTTATTGTATTAAATTTTCAAAATGACCGCCATTAATTGAAATTAAATGGCGGAGTCTAAGAGTTTATTAATATTAAAATAAAATGTATAATTTGTTTAAATTAAATGTTTGTTTGTTATTTTTAAATTGACAAAATGACTCCATAATGCTTATATTGGTGCACCTCTACCTGTCCGTAAACTGCTATATATTATCTAACACCCAGTA